CACTCAAAAACAAGCCCCCCCCCCCCCCCCCTTCCCTCATTACATCAGCTCAATTCTCCTCAGTCTTCATACATCCCTTAATATCACAGTCCCACTACCACAATGTGTTATGGCACCCCTGAGGAAGACAGAAGGTATTCTGGTTGGCAAAGGCTGCTCTACCCTATATAAAAATAAAAAATAAAGTTTGAGCTTTACAAAATATTTTTTTAAGGTATACTGTGTTAATATCTTCATATTATTGAAACTATTTAAATGTACATTAATCAGACCTTTTAGTTTCTAATTTCTAATATCATTGGTTTTATCCTGTCGACTGAACACAAATACAATTCTCTCTAGATGACAGTAGGAATAATGGAGACAGTTATTTCTCATTGGTGATGCTTACCAGGCAATCTTTCTCTGATATTTCTTTCACAGCTGGAGAGGAATCGGTGACCTACTTTATGGAAGATTAACAGAATGCATCTTCACCGTGACTCTACAGAACAAGCACACTACTGAAGGAGGATGATGGGGAGTTCTGAATACACTATGGAGTATTAGTGACATTGCACACATTGCAGCATTACGGTGCTGAAAGTGTCAGTGATATGCCATTCAGAGGAACCTGCCTTGTGATTCTTGGCTAATAATCCTAGCAGTAAAAGATACCTGATTATATTAAGACCTTCTTAAGGGCCTTGGACATCTAATGTTGAACACGTGCTACATCAATGCTTGCCTTAAGCTAAAATTATATAAAAAGCTGCAAAAAGAAGAAGCTGGAGACACTTGAAGGGGAAAGACTGTAAATGTACTAAAAACAGATATAATTCCAGCACTGGGACTTAACAAGAAATATGTTTGCATCTGTAACAAAACCTTCATGGATGCTAAGCTCACTGAAAAGTGCTGCAGTGTATTGTCATGTCTGTGTAGAGTAAAACTCTTTTAAAATGCTGCACTCTTGGATGATACATTTACACACACACACACACACACCTGTATGACCACATTTAGAGAGGTGTAAATTATATCATAAATATCAAGTCTGGGAAAAATTTTACCTTAGTAAAGATATTTGGGCTTATTTAATAAAAGTGTAAGACGCAAGGTTCTAACTGCCAAGTGCAAAAGCTATAGCAACCAATCTCTCTTTAGTGCTGGGCAGCATTCAGTAAAGAGGATTCTTGTTGGTTGTTATGGGTCATTGCACTTTGCACCTAGAGATTTGCTGCTTATTTGTTTATTGAATAAGCATGATTGCTTGGCATACAGTTCCAAACATACATAGATAGAATTACACAGCATTTATTTAATTTTTTTAAACTGTAGATACATACAGCATATGGGCAAAAGTTTGTGGACATCCTGTTCCAAGACCTTGGGTATTAATATAGAATTGACATCCCTCCCTTTCTCCATTCTCTGGGAAGCCTTTTGGAGTGTGTCTCTGGGAATTTGTGCCTATTCAGCCAAAAAATTGTTGGTGTTGAATGCAAAGATATGTCTATCAATTTGTGTTCCAAGTCAAGCCAATACAAATATTTGGAGGGGTATTTACATACTTTTGGTCATATAATGAGTCTTTTACAGAGCATTGCTGGCCGACTATCACAAAAACAGTGGGTAGATTAAATATTAAGTGTCTCAACTAAATAAACACTTTGACAAAACTGAATATCCTTTTTTGTACAGCTAGTGTCTGATATGTCCAGTCCACTTACTTTAGTTGAAAGTCATTATCCACAGGGAAGACAAGCAACACAAACAAAGCATCCAGTGGGTGGGGTGCAGAGACAAGTATAATTTTCTAGTATTGGATTTTGTATTGATATTTCTTGTCATGTCCATTTTCTGATAATAGGGATTATTATTTTAGGTAATATGGAAAATTAGCATCAGTGTTTGATCATCCTCTGATTTGCATGATGTGCCAATAATTAACCCAATCATCATTCAACCACTGAGGTGAAAGCCACATTTGGCCATATGTATTGTGGTGATTATTAATTTGTAAAACTCATGCCAGGCAACAAGAAAAAAATATAACCATTTTGATGCCTGACAGTGAACCATCAATTCTACCTTGAAATTTGCACACCCACACAATTGCATGTTTTCAGAAATAAACTATAAAGAAAACTGTATTTACATGGTAAGAAGGAAGGAAGGTAACATCGCTATATTTTTTTAAGGTTTTGCTGTTAGCTTTTCATAAATGTTCAACTGTAGAGATGCAATGAATGCCATATTGTTTAAAAATCAAACGGCCAGATAGATTTTGGTATGCAAAGGGCACTGCTGAGGAATTTGATGTCAAAAACCTCAACAGCACTGATATGATACGTTGCTAGGAATGTTAACCAAATCACAAAATATAGAAAACACTAGATTAAAGAGAACTCATTATATGTGTGTGAGATTGTGATCACTTTAATGTAAATATCAATGTGATAAATTGTTTCTATTTTTATAATTACTGCATATATGTATATGAATATATAGATGTATATGAAGGCAACCACAGATTTTTAATACATGATATGCTTCCTGGCAAGGAACATGGCATAACTCTGCGTTAGTGCAAGTATAGATATAAAAGTGGTCAGAGGTGCAGGCACAATTAGACCACCCTCCAGTATATGCTTCAGCTGCGACTTTAACAGAAACTTTTATTCCAGCCAAGCATGTGTATTTCTGCCTATGCAGAGAAGAGTGGGCAGGAGGAGAGAGCCTCAGGCATTCATTATAGGTGCCAGATTATTTGGGGGATGAAACGGCGACTGGAACAGGTTTTCCTGCCAGAGTGGTCATCTGGTGGACAATGATTGACTTATAGACATAGAATTGTTGACTGATCCATCTGAAAGCAATAGGATTGATGAACTCTTATTCTGGTGTCTGTGGGGACCTTTAGACTGGATTCACTGCTACAGTATGTATTTAGGGCTGCAACAACTAATCGATCAAATCGATAATAATTGATTATGAGAATAGTTGGCAACTATTCTCATTATCGATTAGTTGGTGAGAAAGATTTTGGTAACTGCAACTAATCGATTAATCGAAAAAATAATCGTGCAACTAATCGATTATAAAAATAATTGTTAGCTGCAGCCCTATATGTATTTGTGTTAGATGCATTTTTAGGGCCATTCTATTCATTTCATATGGCCCCCCAATGCACATGAATACAGTAAACAATGCATGTGTAAATACACATGTGTTGAGATGCCTTGGTCAAAAAAAAAAAAAAGAATACCTCAATTGTGAATAACCAAAAGTGGAAATGCTGTAAGACAATATATACCCAGTTCAGGTTATATGTGGTATGGAAAACAATATACTCTTATGTGTTTTGTAACACATTTTGTTTCAGCAGTCATCTGGCATCAATGTACAGAATTATTTAATATCTTTTTATCTAATTATTTACGTAGCATTAAAATATTTTGCAGTGCTTTACAGACATAAATTCACATCACCCATGGCCAAAGAGAGGCATAATCTGATGTCCCACCTACAGTGATACAGACATAGATACACAAGGACCATTTTTTTGGAAGTCAGTTAAATACTAGTATGCATTTGACCACCAGGAGAAAATTAATGCTAACATTAATGCTAACATGTAAGGAACGTGTAAACTCTATGCAGATAGTGTCTATAGAAGGAATCCAGGACACTATAAAGGATAAGTGCTAGCCATTTAGCCATGATGGCGTTCCAGATGAACAAAGCCATCTACTATTCTCTAATATGATTGTTAAAAAAGTCACAGCAGGTATGCCAACATTATTTATTTTCAGGTATTTAAACCGGTATATAATAATAAAGGAAAATGTATATTTATTTTATAAATGTTTCACTCATGTGAATTATATAGCAAAAGAATAAAACATAATATTGCAAGTTTTGTATATGAATTATTAAAGATGTTCTGTTAAAATATTGTGAAAAGTTGAAAATAAAATTTGGTTGCCAAAAAAGTTGCAAGCCTTTAGTAATTATTTGTTGATTTGTGTAAATAACTTGTGTTAATAACAAAAAAACAGAAAAAAAAGAAGCAAAATGTTAACCCCTTCGTGACCGACGACGTACAGTGTACGTCGCCAGCATCGGGGCTGTTTAAACAGACTCCCGGCGACTTTTGCCGCCGGGACTCTGTTTAAACTTGTAGAGCCGACTGTCGGCTTTACAACAGAAGCGATTCTGGCGACTTACCTGTCGCCAGATCGCTTCTGTGTCCCGAAGAAGGGCCCCCCCCCCACCGGACACCGCTGCCGTGTTTCCCGGGCTCCGTTGCCCCTCCTACGGGCCCCGGACCGGCGAAGTAATTTTCAGGCCTAAAAACTTATCTATTAACAAAACTGTATCTGATTTGTGTATCACTCAACTATAGATACTCAAATCATCTCTGAATTGGTGCTGACACTGTCCTTCCTTCTGGAGAGTGGTAACTTTTGTTCCCCATGGTCCCTGTGTATGTTGTAAAGTAGCCACCGCTCCATGCTTGCTCCCGTTATAGACTACAATCTCAATACAAATCAGTAAATATAATGTGAGATTGTAGTCCATCATGGGAGCAATCTTGGAGCAGTGTCTACTTTTACAACACACACAGGGACCATGGGGAACAAAAGTAGCCACCCTCCACAAAGAAGGCCAGAGACAGCACCAATTCAGAGATGATGATTTGAGGATCTACAGCTGAAGGGGGCAACTGTCAACTTTGGGTGTGCCAGACACAAGTGGCACACATTTAGTCCACTCTTTTTGCTTGCCCTGTGCCCAGTAGACTTGATAGGTGATGATTCCAGGCAAAGTGCACACTTTACAACCTCAAAGCTGTATTTTCTTTCTTTCCTCATGTGTCTTGTATAGATGCAGAGTGTCTGTGTGCTGTGCCATCCATCCTGCCACCAAAGTAATCATTACCATCATCAAAGTAAAAACCTTTTATTCAGTGGATCTGCAAAGTCTTTAGGGCACTACAGACTCGGGAGGTTCACAGCACCAAGACTGGAGTCACAGTTTTCTGTTTTAAAGCATGTTTTGGTGCGCTGAAATTTGTTTAAATACATCTGTGCTAAAATGTATGCAAAAGGTTTTGGATGCAATAAAGTAAAGGCATTTTTGATTGCAGCATTTCTCTTAACACTGCAGTGTTAACTTTAAAACATCCATATGACTAAATATGTCACATACAGTATGTAAGCCTCCAGCCTACTCTATCTGCCTCCTGTGGGGAATAAGGACTGTTTGTATCCCTTCTCTTGATGTGTCAAGTGGAAGTCTTGCTGGGGATCTGGGATCTGCATAGTGGTGTCATCAGACACTTCACTTATGTGTGCGTTTGTTGCTGCAGTAGCTCTGTCCATGGAAAATATCCCACTTGCTTCACAATGCTGCTCTGCATGTGGCCACCGTTTGTACAACAGTCATTTTATAGAAGGAAGAGCAGACTGTAACTAAGGGCTCTGTGAGCATCGTGCCTCCGGGTACCCACAGGATGCATTGTATACTGTAAAGCAATATAGAAGGAATCATTTATTGTTACATGAGTATGACAGATCTCCTGCACTGTTCTTGGATTAAAGGAGAACTATGGGGTTAGGGCTTTTCCCCATAGTTCTCCGTAGGGTAACGCGAGGACACAAACTAGCGTCCTCCCGTTACCCTAAGCTCAGTATACCGCG